TTTTTTTTTTTTTTTTAATTTTCTAAAATTTTTTTGTGTTTTTTTGTTTTGTTTTTTTGTTTTTATTCTCTTTGCTTTTTGTTGTTTTAGCCAGTCCCCTCGGGGAAGAAGCGCCCCCCCGCAGCGCCGGAGGTGGGGCTGCAGCCATCTTTAGTCGCGTCTGAGTTGCCCTCTCGCTCACAAGCAGGAACTTCACTTGGCTTGCTCTGGCGGCGAAGCGGCTCCCCGGGTTTGGCGGGACGCGCTAGAGCGAGTGAAAGCCCTCGGCCACAATGAAGTTTGCTGATTGTGGGACACGTTCTTGTTTGCGTTATTTCCTGTCTTCTAATCAAAAGACATTCCTGGAGGTGGGGAGGGAGGGGACACAAAAAGTGCCATCAGTGTTTCCACCGCGCATGGAGCTCTCCAGGCCAGGCCGAAAGCTCAGTGCCCCCAGCTCCGAGCACCATGGCAGGACATGGCCGAGACGATATGCCCTGTTTCATGCACATTCGGGCTGGCAATGTGGCAGTGACGCTGTCCCAGCGGTGCCTTTCACACACAACCTGGGTTTCTACTGCGTCCAGGAATGGCAGCAGCCCCCGTCTCATAAGCTGCCCTCGTTCCCAGTATGGATACACAGAACATGGGAATCTTATTCCCTCGGCTGTGCTGCCATGGCAGTGACGTACTGCCAGCGTCGTGAGGCCCCAGTTTACCCAGTGACTGCTAAGAAACAGCAGTGGTGAAGGAGCTGGGGGCAGCAAGACTGTGGCTGAGATCGGGAGCTGCCCCATAACCAAGAGGTGACACAAGCCTTCCTTGCTCTTCACCTAACACCTTTAAGTGCTGGCGAAGGTGTCCAAGTGAAACCTCCGGCTGCCTGGATGCCAGCTGTGCCCATGCAATCTTCTCTTGACCCAGCAAAGCCGCTTCAAAGGACAAGCAATTTTAGACCCCGGCCTACTGCTCAGACTGAAGTGGATCTTCCGGACACCATCCACAAGGAACTGAACTGGGCGTATCCTACCCCGTTCCCATAAGTGTCACACCCATAACTGGCTTGTCACTGGAGGGGGGGGGTGGCAGGTCAGGATATCAACCCATGGCCAGATCCTTTCAGTCCAGGCGCCCCCCAGCGCAAACCAGAGCACGTGCAGCATCTGCTGATATTAACTTTACAGGTACGGCTGCCAGGCTCTAGAATGGGTTTCCAAGGGAGGTGGCGCTCTCTCCTACCTTGGGGGTTTTCAAGACAATGCTGGACAGATTTATCTGGGGCGAGATGACCCCGGCACCCATTTCTGCCTGGTGCAGGGGGGCGGACCTGATGACCTGTTTAGGTCCCTTCCAACCCTAAGTACTATGATACTATGAACAGCTACCAGGCGAGGCCTGTTGGCTTCTCTATCAGCACCAGGCCAAGCAAATGCCTGCAGTCAGGGTTTGCTTTCAGGTGGCGTCCAGAAGCCTGGCTTTCAGTGGGCTGGGATTGCTTCCTCTGCTCCGAGACGGCAGAGAGCAAATGTATCCAGGACTTGCACCCACTGCAGGGAGGAGACTAATGTCCACCAGCCATGCCTGGGTCTGCTGCAGGGCTCCACAGTGGGCATTCAAGGGTTAGCAACCTCTCATGCAATTGCTGACAGGCTCCCACCCATCTCCAGTGATGGGGTTATGGCAGCACCAGGCTCAAACCCACCTTCTCAGGAATCACTGTGATGGGGGATAGGCTCAAGCCAGAGCAGTGCTAATGGTACAGTGCCACAGCCTTCCTGGGGCTGGGGCACAAAGGGCAACTTACTCACCTGGGAGACAGGCTCAGTGCAGGAGCGCAAGCTATCGGAACAACCGGGTGAAGTCCCTCAGAGCCCAGCAGACCTGTTTACATTCCTCCGCGCTGAAAGACAAGGGGGGGCATTAAAGGGAAGCCTGGCAGCTAAGGGAGGTGGAAGCTGCTCAACACTAGGGGACACTGATCCCACTGACTCCTTCCTAGAGACAGTGCCGCCCCACCACACCCACCCTCCCAGAAGGGAAGCCCACGCGCGAGCTGCTGATTTTCCAGTCCAGCAAGCTGCTGCAGGTGCTAGGGCCGGGGAGCAGCGTTCCACACCCGTTTCAATGGGGGAGGGCACCGGCGAACCTGCAACAGCCCCGAGTGGGCAGCGTGAGCTCTGGGGTGTGAGCCAGGAGCTCTGATGTCCCAGGGCGCTGCCAAGGGGGTGTCACCACTCCTCGTGCCTTGGTTTTCCCATGTGCAGATCTCACTGCGGCAGCTGTGAACTAGCCCAGCCCACTTGCTTTGGCCCCAAGAGGCTGCAGTGACACAGACACCTTTGGACAGCCTGGAGTATGCACCACCGCATACACTGGAGACCCAGGTCACAGCAGTACTGGGCACAGCCCGGGGCCCTCCGTGCTGGCTGCCTTGCCTTGCTCATGGGATCAGGGGGTACAGAAAAGGAGTGGGAGAGGCAAGCACAGCACAGACTTGCCCTAAGCAATCAGTCATAACGTCCGCCAGGTGCAATGGGGCAGACTCCAGAACGGCCAAGGCCCTGGTCTAGCCTCAGCCCCTGACACTGCCCTACCCACCCCTCTCCCTTGTATATGAGGCCTTTGGGACCCCAGCTCTCTGAGGACCTGGAGGGAAGCACAGGGGAAGCTGGACAATCCCCCAGCTGAGGACCTGGAAGTGGGTGCTTGCAGAGTGGGTGGCTCCATGCCAAGCCAGTTGCAGGCTCTGGATCTGTGCAAGACTTGGCCACTCTTGACTAACCTGTGCCTTGCCAAGACAGGCGCTGAGCAAAGGGAACTGTCACTGTTTTCTCAGTGGCTTATGCGGCTAAGATGCCATCACCACCTTGCTAACATGCCTCAACCTGGAGCTGGGGGACCACCCTTCAGGGCAGGTTCAGTTGTCACGGCCCACTTGGATCCTGGCATCCCCACGGAGGCTGCCAAGGACGTGGGCACAACCACATCTTATATGTCCATGCAACCCTGAGTCACCCACGTCACAGAAGTCATAAAAATCATAGAGCAGTGGGGCTGGAAGAGATGTCCAGGGGTCGCATCTAGTGCAAACCCTTGCCTGAGGCAGGATCAGCCCTGTCCAAACCATCCCAGACAAATCCATAATCTAAACTCTTTGTAAAACTACCACCAACCCTGACACAACAGACATCAACAGCCGACCCAGCCTCAGTAAAGCAGGGGGGCCCACAGCAGCTGACATACTGCTTCTATTACAGCTTGTATAAGCTCAAAAGATCCCAAGCAGGGGCCGTGCCCCCCCTACAGAGGAAGGCAAAACCCAACCAGTTTGTATCAATCTGATCATGGAGTACGATTCCTTCCTAACCCCAATATGGTGACGAGTCTAACCCTGAGCATAGGGGCAAGGCTCTCTAGCCAATAACCTCCGGCTTCAATCCCCAGCAGGAGCACTGGCACACCAGTGAAAATCCCCAGCCTCGGCTGCAGCCAACACCCAACGCTTACGGGAGGCTTAAAAACACCAGGTCATGTGGAACAGAAAAGGGGGTGGGAGGCAACCAGCAAAGCCCAGAGGCCTGGGAAATCCCCGTAGCAGAACACAGGCATCACTACACCCAGAGCATCCCCGAGCAGTGGCTGCCTAACCTCAGTCACCACTGGACCCGCTCACAACTGCCTGGCAGGGGAGGCTTTGGCTAGTCCCAACCCAGACCGGGCCAGAAGTCAAAGGGACGACTCAGAGGGGACACTGCCGAGTTCAGGAAGCAGGAAGTTCAGCTGGGTTTCCAGGTTAAGGTCACACGAGGTGAGAACTGCATGCCAAGGCATGAAGGGGCTGGAGAGCTTTGCAACTGAGTCCCGAGGGCCAGGCCGGGACTCGCCGAGCTGGTCTAGCGCTGCCACCCGGAGCAGCGGGACTCTCCACAGCAAGTCTGGGCACAGCCATGGGGCTGTGCAAGCAGGGGCTGCTGAGTCATGGGGCACAGCAGACCGGGGCGAGGGTTGAAAAGCCATGTGCTGACATGCAACGGCCAATTGAACTGGAGAAGAAGGAGCCTCCAAACGTTTCCTGCTTGGGATCAGGGCAGCCAGTCACCAGAACCCCTGGGGCTCCATGCCTCTGGGACTCGCGTGAGAAAAGAAGAACCTGTTGTTCAGGGATGGTCTAGGAAGGGGAAATCCAGCCCCCGTACCCGAGTGCCAGATTTCTGTGATCCTGGTCTCAGACAGCAGCCTTGGCTTGAGCAGGGGTTTACTGAGCTCAGAAATGCACTCTTCCCCTTGGAAAACCAACCAAGGGGTAACTGAGGCACACAGGCCAAGGTCGCCCCAAAAACCCTTGTCAGGGTTAACCATTACAATCCTGGTCTCCAGTGGCTGAACCACAAAAACACCTTTCTGCCAAAAGCCAGGATCTCAGACACTTGAAATCAAAAGGTTACTGGGGTGGGGAGGCTGCATTTCCAAATCATTACAGTACCCGTTTAGCAACACTTTGTCTTCAAGTCTCAAGGTGCCAGAAAGCTTTATACCGCATAAGCCAAACATGCAGTCACAGAACGGCCGCCACTGCAGGGGAGGGCATTAGAGAATGAGCCACCTCCCTCTGTTAAGGCAGGCAGCAGCAAGCACTAAGGTCTCCTCTGCAGCACAAGCAAGCAGGGTGCAAACTGAGCTTGGTACCTGGGCAGGACCCCAGAGCTGATGCACTGAACTAACGCTCAACAGCAGGGAGAGGTGGGGAGGCCTGTCTCTTGTAGTACTGTCGGACCAGGACAATCGAGTCAGGACTGGTTTATGAGCACCGGCTGGAAGAACTGGGATTTGGTGTAAGGAGAAGGTTGAGGAGAGATTTGCTACCAAAAGGATGACAACAGACTGTGTTCCATGTCCGCGGGGGCCAGGACTAGAGTAACAGTCTGAAATTGCACAGGGGAAACCGAGGTTGGAGACTGGGGAGAACTCTCTCACTATGAGTGCAGTCAACCATTGGAACAGGATATTTACAGATTTCAGAATCGCCATCCTTGGGCATTGCATAGACCCTTGCCTAGGATGGTTTAGATGGGGCTGATGCTGCCTTGAGCAGGGGTGAAACTAGGTGCGACCTCCTGCAGCCCTGCTGGCCTGGCTGCACTACGATTCTAAGGGCCTCGTTACACGGTAACTTTACACGGCTTCTGGAGCTCTTGGACCAGCTGCACATTAACACCTTTTAAGTAGCTCAAAGCACTCTATTTAGTTTAATGTTATGCCACTCCGGGGCAGGATTATCTCTAATCCACCAAATTTTGTTCTTGTTTCATCAATTTATGGTCATGCTCCGCAGCTTTTCTGCCCAAGCTGAAGTCCTCCTGCACCCCAAGAGGGTGTGGTGCTTCAGTGCCAGCGCTCGGACCAGTTCTGCTCCCAGCAGCCAAGCCACCCAGCCAACGGCGGGTGAGAGCAGGACCCAGGGCTTCTCATGGATCCCAGCCAGGGTACACAGGCATTTTGCCTGCACAGATGTTGTAGTGGGGCTGCCAGAAGTCATCCAGCTGGGGGACATACTCTGTGGGTCTCTGCTGGTAGAACTGCTTCCAGCAGTGTGCTTCTAATGTAGACAAGCCCCCAGTCCCCAAAGCTTGCCAACCTGGCTTCACACAGGAGCAGCGAGCCTGTCTTTCCCCAAGCTCCTAGTCCAGGCCCTGCTCACAAAGCCTCTCGTGGCAAGTCACAGCTGTGCAGGTCAGGGATAGTCAGAGAAGGTTTTTTAGCCTTGTGTGCAACTGGTCCACTAAGCCGATCAACACTAAGCCAATTAACTTTTATTCAGCTTAGAGCATAAGGTCTGATTGACCCCAAGGAAGAGTAGCATTTTCATTCAATACCATTTCTCCATCCTCTAGATATTGCTGACACCCAACCACCCTGCTCTTGGTCAACACTGAAAACTTAGAAGCATTGAAAGCCACAAGAAAGCTTAATTTTTGAGGTGCTGCTTCCCATGAGAATCTAGTG